GGGGGGGGTGCCTGTGGCGCAGGCAACGGAGGTTGAGCAGCCCCCAGCAGCTGTTGGACTACTTCCAAGACGGCTCTGGCACCCTGTGCACGAAAGACTTCAACTAAAGGCGTACTTGGGAAGGGGTCGCCGATGTTCTGGCTACGTTCCACCAAGTCGTAGTGGCCGGTTACACCCATGTCCCGATGTACGAGCTCTAACACGGGGCTATGGTGTTGCAACTTTGCATGCGCTTCCTGGTCGGTGAGGCACTCCATGGACCGGACCCAGTAATTCACATTCTCTTGGGCACACCAAATGAGACACTCAAACTCGAACTGTTGGGTCCTAGACATTCATTTTGACCAGTTCATCTGGTACATGGTACATTTGAACCATTTTGACTTCTCACGCCATTTTGACGTGAACGGGCGTGAAAACCAGGTCTTGCTAGGTTTGCCTTTGCAAACAGCAAAACCAAAGTGCCATAAGCAACCTGCTGGACTAGACATTTGTTTTGACCAGTTCATCTAGCACTTTGACACGACGCTTGGAATTCTACATTGGTACTATCTTAATATATATATATCACTGGAAAGGTTCCCATCATCTACACGACCAAACACACACACACGTTGTGAAAACGTGTTTTGAAGAAATGATTTTTTTTTTGCTCAGAGTTTGTCTGCAGTAAAGGCTAAATGGTATTAACTAACGTGGCGACTGGTGATTGCTGGAATCATGTCTCTTTGAACCTCTGGGAGCGATGGCCTCCACCTAGAAGCTTCTTGTTCCTAGTAGTAAGGCCAGGAGCTACTAATAGCTTCTTGTTACTTGTAGCGTTGGCCTCCAACCTAATTGCTACGCAAGTCTCAGCCGCCGGTCGCAAACGGGCATGTTTTAGCGGCGATCCGTCCAACTGCAGGCCAGTTTTTGGCAAGAGTATAGAAGGCAATATAGTGACAGGCATCGTCAGTCCGTGTCCAACACAGCTAGGTTTGCAGTTATATGTTGCCCGCCTAAATAGGGTCGATCCTCAATGGATGGATTCCCTAAGTGTATTAGTGAAATGTAAAAACAAAGACACATATTTCCCCTGAACTGTGAGCGCCTACGGTGCCCGGCTACATGTTGCGTGTGGCCTGGTCTTCATCCGCCAGCCGCCAGGCGCTGTTGAGACTGAGTTTTTTCAAGAAGGTTTTGGGGGTCGTGGTTTTCTGTAGATTGAAGCTCGGCTCACTCGGCTCAGTCTTCTCCATCTTCCTGGCACACACAGTGCCGCAAAAGACTTTGGGGATCATGGAACATGTGCAGAGTTTGAGCAGTGCACCTCCGCCACATAGGCAATTTTTATAGTGCATCGATGATTCGGATATCATATAAAAGTCTAAGAACCCGATCTTTATTTACACCGGATGACATGCCAGCAAAATCTGAACAGGTGCCCTGAGTTCGACGTGAAGATCATGAAGATTGTTGGCGCTTCTGGCTACTATGGCTCGGTGCCCAATTGAATGTGGGCACGCAAGCACAGTGCATTTGCACTTTGATGTTTTGGAGATATGAGATATGGATTGATTTTAGAACCCCGGAGATATTTGATGGCCGTGCTGGGCATATGTCGGTATCTAATCAGATAGTCTAACCACGTTCTATTTGTCGAAGTTTGCGCCCTGCCACCATTCTCATCCCCACATTAAGCGGGGCCTTCAGGTCAAGCTTTGGCAAGTGAAGCAAGGTGCGACCAGCCCCCTGCGGCGCGTATGCGCTGTTCGTGGTGTTTGGAAGGAGATTCTGATACTGTGCTAAAAGCAGTTGTGAACCGTATATTTATCGATGAATAGAGCTGACACGTATGTGAGCTAGTTGCGGAAGAGCAAACCTCTTGGAATTGCTCAGCATGGTCCAATGCCATGTGGGCTCTTGATTGGAAAAGGGGTTGATAGTGGCTGCTGATCCTTCCTAGCGGCCAGCGGACGGTGGAGCTTATCATGGGTCGAAACCTGCCCGAAGTGCTGGTTCAGAGCTATGCAGAGGAATTCGGAAGGCAGCAGCGGCTAAAAGAAGTGCCTAGATACACACAAGTATTATTCTAAGAGTTTTTGTGGATAATCATGTGCTTTCCCGGGGTCAATCCAAAGAATTCCCGCATATGTGTGTTCCAGTGTTCCTGTTTTAAAGGTCGCTAGAAAATGTGCCTATAAGGTCGGTTTCTCATTCCTGCTGGACTGCAGCGGGAACCTTTTCAAGAAAGAGTTGCCTGCCTTGCGGGACGTGGAAGCGAACCCGGATGCAATCTTTGCTGTGATGAAGGTGTCCAAAGGTGTAGGCAGGTACAGTGCCCACATCCTCCAGGCTGCCATTTTGACCTTTTACACGGACAACCGTTTGTTCCCCACAGGGTTAAAAGCTGGTATGGAAGTCATTGATACATGGGCCCTTCGTCAAGCCAACGCGCTACAACGATTGGCCACTTGGGTTATTATGTTTGTAGCCTTGCAGCTGTGCAATCCTCAAGGAAAAATCCTTTCCTGTAAGTTTGGGGCCTAATGTTATAATTGGACACTACTGCGGTTGTTTTTCCATATGTCTATGTTGAGCCCGGAGCGCATGTGATTTGTTTCCTGAGAACCCAATTGGAAAGCTGAGCTGCTAGAGGTGAACCCATGGCTTTCACATCTATATCCAATGCTTGTTGTTTAAACAGACATGGGGGTATAGACGCGATTGATCAGAAAAGGCCTTATGTGTGTAAAGAACTTACAACATCTTACAACCTGGGTAGAAATTGGTAACGGGGTGTATGTGCCTGTAGAGCATCCATGAAAAGAACTGTTTTTCAATAGGGATGGGCTTCAATTGATATGCGCAGCTACCCATATGCGAAGTTTTCTGTCTTCCACTCGCACATAGAACCCACCGGGTCCAACAGCTCTCTAACATATGTAGGGTTTTGAACATCCTGCTCAGGTAAGTCGGTTCCACCGGATACACCGCCTTGCCCAGCGTGGCAAAAGAAAGAAGATCGATGAACTCAAGCAGCGTTTGGTTGGCCTCGTGGACGCTAGTCTGGTGTGAGTCACTGCCAGCGGAGAGATTTCCAGAGGAAACAAGGAATAGCCTAGACTTCATTAATGGAGGTCTTCTTTGAACAGTGTGGAGCTTTCTCTGTCTGAATTTGTTCAAAAATCAGGGCACGGTTATTTAGGTCTAATAGTGACTACATATGGGAAAGCTGGCTCAGTTTCAGCGAATATATGCTGCAACCTGGAATGGGAAAATGCATATCTGAATATCGGTTGGCACCCAAGGACTTTGGACCTGATCATCACCCAGATGATGAATTGGGGGACGATGGTGATGGAGACAGTCCCGCATGTTCGGAAACACTCTCGGAGCTTTCCCAGCCCGCCACTTGGTTATTTATCTCTGGCTTGATGTTCTAGTTTTACATGGCTTTTTTGCTTTTTGTTGACAGATCGAAAGACTTCCCCCTGCAACTGCTGGGAAAGGAAAATGGCGATGGTGTTCCCTTTCTCTGGTAGAGTCTTGATGAAAGATGCTTTTCGATAGTGTGATTATAAACTTGCATGGTGGCCGATCCCTGCAGTCGAGCGCCAAGAAGCCTCCCAGCTTGGCGGACCGTACGCGGAGGGATTTGCAGCTGGCAGCCTTGGCCGAGCAGCTGAAGCATGCAGCTCAGCACGCTGGCAAAATTGCTGAGAACAATCCTAAGGACGGACTGTGGTCGTAACCAACCTTATCAATTTGGGCATACGCAGGTACAATGGTCAAAAAAGAATGGTACAGTTGATCGACCCCTGACATGCCTTTGATTCCACAAAAGGTTCAAAGGTCTTGCTCTAAAACCAGGCGCCTATGCTTCCCATGCTTTGGGGTCCCTGTCACTGCATGCTTTCCAGGCCATTGCCGACAAGCCGAAGGATCTGGCTGCTTTGGGCGCAGCGCTGAAAGCAGCAGCTGCAAAGAAGACTGAGCCAACCCATGCGCTACCCTCCTTCGTTTCGTCTAAAGGGAGGAGTCCACTGAAAACTGAAGACTTAGAAACATCTATGATTTTTGTCGTTCTGCAGCGTATATATCTTCTGCATCCCCGCTTTCAAGCCTAGAGGCATCCCTGTATAGTGCACAAGTTAAATTGTCTCTTGTTTGCATGCACCCCTCTACACCGACGAAAATGATTGTCCAAATCTAGCTTCATCAGGGAATTAGTATTTGCACATTGCGAACCGGTCCCCAGGAGGGTGTCTGGGGGTTCTTTGCTTGATCTGTGAGGTTTTGAAAACTTTGGATTGTCCGCCACCATCAAAGCCTTTCGCCATCAATCAGCAATACAAAGCCAACATGGTGGAAGAGAGTGGGGGTCAGGAGCCTGGTGGTCAGGATGCTGAGACCCTGCAGCCCCCAGCTAAGAAAAGCAAGACCGAGAAGGGTTCGAAAACTGGGCCCGGTGCGAAGACAAGGTCGAAAGAGGTTGTCTCCGGCTCCTCCGATGCAGTGTACACCCCAAAGGAGTACAGCGCGAAGCGTTGTGAATTCATCCGAGAATTGAAGGATGGTGGCATGTCCCATTTTGATGCTAACCAGAAATGGAATGAAAGTTCCTTGAAGAAGGAGCTTCTCTCTACCCTTTCTGTTGGCGAATTGATTAGGCGAAGATTTGTCCCGAAAGGGACTGAAAACAATCCATAGGCGTAATTTGGAATTGTCAGGTGAGGCTGGTATTGATTCCCACACCTCTGACTCACAAAATTCATGTGAAGAGGGACTCCTTATCAACATTTCTGCGTGTTGACGTCCTCGAAAATTGAAGGGCTTATGCGGCTTACTGACTGCTAGCATTTCTTCACACTTCATAGATATTTCGAGTTGGAGGCAGCAGGTAAACGTATAGGCAAGAATGATGGGTTCATTGTTAAAATCATCTGAATAAAACACAGTAGAACCACGCGTTGGATCGTCAAGATGGTACATTGATATCGAATCTAGAATTGGAGGTATACGTATGGGAAGAATGATGGGTTCATAATTCATATCTGAATAAAAACACACATTCGATCTTGAAGATTGTATATATTATGTATATACAGGAAGTGGCATTTGCTGTAGAAGCGGAACTGAACAGAGCCATTCAGCCCATTCAAGACTCCATTGAGCTTTTGGGGCGATGATTTTCGGCCTTGAAAAATGGCACGCCCCTCCAGCGTTGATGCTGCTCTGCCTTCTTCTCACGTTCAATCAGAGGGTGGACCAGACCCCTGATGTGGAGTTTGTGGAGGTGTTTGCAGGCGCTGCTGAGATAAGCAGAGCTTGCCGGAGGAATGGAATGATTGGGTCTGCCCATGACATCCGCTTCTCTACACACTTTGACCTTTGTGGACGCACTGGCTTCTTGTACCTTGGCTGATGTTTCAGGGTGTCTTTAGACCCGCTTAATCCTGCCCAAACCCCAGTCCATACACCCCTGGCAAATTGCTTCTAAAACTAGAAGGCGTTTTAGCATGTTTTTGCAGACCGCAATGGTTTCAAGCGAATCTATCCCTTCCCCAGATCCTTATTTGGGGCAATCCATTAGCTACAATAACTCGGCCTTCCAAGGCTAGATCCTTTTGTCATGACCCTGGCCCGGAGAGCCCCTCCTGCAGGATGGCCGTCAATGAGCTTCTGCGAGCACGGCCTGGAGCGCTTTGTGTCTTTGCCCTATGCTGCAACAGCTACTGCAGAATGAGCCTAGGCTCACAAAATCTTCCCAGAACTTTTTGTGAGTACGAGACGTCTCATTGACAACCCACTAACAGGTTTGGTTTCACTGGTTTTTTTTGCCTAGTCGATCTACCACGCATGGTTTTCTCCACAATTGTGTTACAATCAGGGTTTGGTGTATATACCAAACAGAATAGGATCAGTGAACGGACTTTGGATCAGCCCAGGAGTCGGGCTACATCAGGCCGTGGGCTCTTATTTCCTTTGGGAGACACAACCCGCAAATTCGTGGCTGATGGCAATCTTTTGGGTAGTAGAGTCATCCTGATGCTGTGGATTTGCTCGGCCAGAGGCCTGATCTGGCTTGTGGAGCAACCAGAGGGGAGTGTATTCCCGCTACACCCCCGGTGGCAAGAGTTCATACGCTACTGCCCGGTGCCTAGCAAAAGACATGAGTAACATCTTTTTGTTGTTCTGTGCTCTTAAAGTAGAACCCACTGTTGCAGGGTCAAATCTATGGAGCCTTCATTCACCACGGGTCCTATGCCATTTCAGGTTTTCACCACATCATTTTGGATGGGAGCCTTCGACGGACCAACACCGAAAAGACATCGTCTTTGGAGCAATTCTCGAAAGCTGCTGGAGGGTGTCTGGGAAGTTGGTGGTCAGATGACGAGGGAAGCAATGCGCTCTCTTCCTGGGGGACCATTGGTGAAAAAGTACCTCGACAAGAATGGGGTGAAGCGGTGCGTTGGGTTGAAGGACAAGCTGAAATCATCCCAGCCATTTGGATTGGGATTTAGTAGCTTTTTGAAGTCGTACAATTAAACCTAGACATATGTTTGTCGCAACTTTCTTGGGCACCGCTTGCGCACAGTACCGCCTAGGACATACACACCGGCCTTTGGCCAGAAAGTGGCAGCGTTGGCAAAAAGCCTCCGAGAGGCCAGTGGTTGGTGGTGACAGGGAATGTGTGATAGAAAAGGGATCAAAAAAACGATCGAGTTCAGCGCTCCAGGTTTCAAGGTCTTGGGGGTGTATGTGGACCCGCACCTCACATAGTTGTTGGGCTTTTGTCTTTTCAAATGCTAGCCATGTATTGTTGGAAGACTTGGGGATTTGGGGTCGCAAGCAAACTGAACACATTCAACCATCGCAACAAAAAATGCGGGATTGAACCGCGCCACGGCTAGAGTTCTCCCTCTTAAGATGTCCATCTCTATGCGAGTCTGTTTAGATATCTTTTCTTAGAGTGCGTTGACTTGAAACCGTTCTCATATAAATGGTTTCGTGTATTTGAATCCAACATCACAACGCCTGTTTACTTCTCATGGTTTGTATCTATGGTCTCAGGAAAGTTAGACTAATTCTTCAAAGGCTAGTTTTGAGGGTGGCCTTTTTTGGGTTGCAGAGGGCAAAAAAACAAACAAACAGGCCACCCCGGAAAATGGCTCATAAAGGATCTTCGACTCGTGATGAAGTCTAACCTTGCATCCGCCATTTTGTTTTTGCTCCGTCTTGAGGATGAACTGCCACCTCCAAAAAGAGCCCGTGCACTTGATGTGCATAAGAACGACTTCGAGATTTTCCAGAAGTATATCCTGCCGATGGGTGGCATATGTGCTCTTGGGGACATGTGGGAGGATGCCCCTCGGAAGGAATTCTAGCCATCACTCGATCACCAAGAAAGGTCAAAATTGACAGGGACGCTAAGGATCCTTAACGTCCCTATCAATTTTGTGTCCCCTTGGCCTCTCTTAGCAAGTAAGCACGAGCCAACGTGTGCACGAAGGTGTCCATATCTATAGATTTAACCCCAAGTGTTCTTTCGTGTCCTTTCACTAGCTGTGGCACTCACCCCCCCTGTTTTATTTACAGTACTTCAATCTAAATCTGTCAGTTAGGTTTTGCTCGATCCTATCCGATTGTCAATACACCAACTGGCCCAGGCCAATTTGCACGAATGCCTCGACTACTTGTCCGGCTGCAAATATCTGAAGCCGCCTGGGCGCTGGGAGTCTTGGCTTTGCAGCCGGCAGGGTTATCAATGGTGTTGACGCAACAGGTTCCAAATACTCGGTTCTTTGCTTCACTGTGATTTCCAATGGAAAACCATTGCATGCTAATATTCACATGTATATACGTGACCTGTTGCTTTGCAGCCCCCAACATCATCTCATCCACCCCATCGCCATGTGCGGCCTCAGCTTGTTTCGCTGGCTTCTTCGGGTGATCAGCTTCACGCACACCTCGCCCACGGGCACTTTAGCTTGGAGTCCAATGGAATGTGTACCTCTTAAGCGGTTCCAAAAAGGCCTTACCACCCCTCTTGGAGTAGCCATGCGCCCGATCAAATATACTGAGGTTAAACCTTTCACGTTGTAGATCAAAGGTGTTAATGGTCAAAAGCGCCAAAATCGATGGTGAGTAGATCAGTCACATAATATATATATATATATTATACACGTTTCATTTGCTTATCGGCAATCCCACCACCAAAAGAAAGGAAAACGACTGTATCATAGTTCAACCAATCAACTCCCTCGTTTTGATAGCCTGACCCCGTTTGGTTTGCGCACGCTCCATCTGAGGAAGCCGCGATCAACTCCTTCAACCTTCCCATGAGTCGACCTTGAGCTCACCATGAGCCAGACCACATGCTGCTATTTTTTTCCAACGGAGGGTTGGTGGCGGGGTTCAACGAGGTGCCTGTATACAGGCTGAACATAGGAATTCTTTGGCTCATACTCTTCACCCTGCCGTTGGTAGAAATTCAACCAGGTTGCACAGCAATTTGGCCGTGGTGAAATAACCACGTTGGGGATGGAAAGACATCAGGTGTTTAAAAATATGTGCCGTGAAAACCCGTGAAATTGACGTGAACGCACCACGATTTGACGTGAACGGACCGTGAATTCCGTGAACTTCATGTTTTACATTTTTCAAGTATTTCCAGTGTCAACTTGGAACATGTTTGTTACTATATGTAACCCATTTGTAGTCTAGGAGTCTTCTTGGCCTTTGTGTTGCGGCCATGGCATCGAATGCATTGGCCAGCCTACCTTTTGCAGTGTCCGAACTGGGATGGGACAAGTTTGATGAAGTTCAAAAGGCTATGAAGCTAGATCGGGATGACACTATCACGGTCATGAAGCTTGCCTGTGGAGACCCACCATCCGACTTCGACGCTCGACTAAACTTAGGAACACATCAGATCTCACCACCCCCCAACTCGTAGTTTTAGTAGTTTTCGATTTGCTATTCCCTATATGGTGGGTGTAGCTGGTTCATCATATGTCCACATAGACCGAAAGACTTTTGCCAAATTAATTACCCACGTCACCTTGTAATATTCTTGGGTGTCCCGGCATCGTCCCAGGACCTTGGAGCGGCTAGGAATGGCGCGGGCGGTGCGCAGTCGAGGGGCAAGACCAAACCGACGGCCCCTAAGGCCAAGGCCAAGGTTGTGCCCAAGGCCAAGGCCAAGGGTGCAGGAAAGGCGAAAGCGAAACCAAAGGCAGTCAAAAAAGGTGACAAGGCTAGGAAGAAGCCTAAAGCTGTGGCCAAGAAGGCCGCAAAGAAACCTCAAACCGAAGTTGAACCGCAGGAGGAGGGGGAAGAGGAACCCATGGAGGAGGATGTTGAGGTGGATGTTCCTGTCATGAAGAGACCATCTGCCAGGAAAGCACCTTCCGTTCACTCTGCAGCTGACACGGTGCCATACACAAAACCGGAACCTCCCCGAAAGAAGAAGGCCCCCGTTGAAGAGCTGCCTTCGGTGGAGGGGCCTGGTAGCCGGCAGACTCATGATTCTGTGCCTGAACCCCCTGCTCTGCCAGATGCTCCGCCAGATGTTAAAGAATCCACACCGGCTGAGTCCCAGCCTTCGCATTCTCCTGAAGGCCACGATGCGCCGGTGATAGAACCTTCGAGCGCTTTGAAGCGTCAGCGGACCACGGATGAGTCGCAGTGGTTCCTTGAAGCAGTTCATTTTCATTGTGCTGGCCCTGTTTCCATGCAAAAGAATCTCATCAAAATACATATCGGGGCTTGATTGGGAACACCGGGTCCATCTGTGGTTGATGGTGTGACATGCGGATTGACCAGTCGAGGTCTTGCAATACCCTTCAAGCTGGCCTTCAGCTCTTGGCCGACCAGCGGACTGCCGGAATTCCACCCGTGACTTTAGAGGACAAGCAGTTCATGCATGATTCACAAGGTGATGGTCTCTCTGACACAACCTTGCCGTGACTCGGATTTAAAAAACCGCCAGCGCCGATCGATCATCCAGGATCGACCCATCCAGGATTCGGATCCACCCCCTCAAAAAGGATAGATATTAATATTAAGTCGATAACTGGTCCAAATATCTTACATTATACAGTGGGGGAGCTAGCCATCCTTGAGGGGCTTCATGGGAAAACAGCTACCTATCCACATTATGTAGAAAATACATAAGACGCCTGGGGACACTAGCTGCTGGGCTGTCTTGAGGTTGGGCGCAAGCATCAGTACGTTCAACAGTGGCACCACTGTCGCAGCTTCGCAGCGCGAGTTGGAAGCGCAGCTTTTGGCAGCCCGGGCTGAGATCGATGCGCTGAGGGCAAAGCAGGCAGATCACGAGAAACAAGAGCAGGACAAGAAACTCGCAGAAGATGCTGCCAGGGATGCTGAGTACCGCCGTATGGATGCAAACCTGTGGGATAAGCCCATTTTGGCGGAGGAGCAGTTAATTCATTAGTCATTGCGCAAACCAAATGGTTTGAGCTTTCTTGTTTTTTGGGTATGTAACAAAGAGAGGTTCAATGTTCATGTGTCCCTTCAACCTCTCCTGGTATGTCTTGCGGTCAATGCGTCTCGGCATGCAGGAAGCCACTCCATCCGGGATTGACATCGCTGAGCGGCAAGAGGCCATGCCTACCCCGGACAAGAGGGTAGCTGTGGAGTGTTCCCAGCAGAAAGTGCACATCTTCAATTCTGGTTGTGGTGGCGAGGGACCAGCTGTTGTGTCCGCTGAAAGGCCTTTGAAGACGGAGACAGTAGTGGTTGGAGCTACGTTGACACCGCCGCGAGGTGCAGTTCAACCTGATGGACACTCTGATGGGCAAAGCACGCTTGAGGACACTCAGGTGGCTCAAAGTCCAGCACCTGCGCCAACACCGGCTGACACGGTGGCTCAAAGTCCAGCGCCACCCGCTGTGCCAACACCGGCTGCGCTGGCTGAAGGGGTGGCTCAAAGTCCAGCGCCGCCCGATGTGCCAACGCCAGTTGACACTGTGGCTCACAGTCCAGCACTTCCTGCTGCGCCAACACCGGCTGAAGGGGTGGCTCAAAGTCCAGCGCCGCCCGCTGTGCCAACGCCAGCTCTGGCTCAAAGTCCAGCACTTCCTGCTGCTGAAACGGTTGCTCCAAGTCCAGCGCCACCCGCTGTGCCAACGCCAGCTGACATTGTGGCTCAAAGTCCAGCAGTTCCGGCTGTGCCAACGCCAGCTGACACTGTGGCTCAAAGTCCAGCACCACCAGCTGACACTGTGGCTCAAAGTCCACTGCCGCCTGGTGAACCAAACCTGGCTGACACGGTGGCTCAAAGTCCTCAAGCTCTGCTGCCGCCTGCTGTCCCAACACCACCTGCTGCAGTTCAAAAGGCGGAGGCGCATGCGGCCCTGAAAGGTGCAGCTGCTGTGATAGATGCCCAATCGCCTCCATGGGTCAGAGCTGTAGCAGAGTCCAAGCCAGGAGCAGAGGACCAGTTAGAGGCCATGCTCCAAGGTTTGAGTGGTGGTGCTTCAGTGGATAGCCAAATTCCGGAAGAGCTCCAAGGTCTGATTGCGGCTGGGAATGAGGCGCCTGCAGCAAAACCATCTGGAAGCGCTGGTTGGGTTTCGGCCGGAGAACTTGACCCAAATGTCACCACTGCGACCAACCGTCAGGCGGCCATGCGGCTCAATAGACTCATGAACTCGAAGGAGGCAAGCAAGTTCCCACATATGGGGAAACTTTGGAGCGGCAGCCGGGGGGAGTCTTTTCCAACGCTTGGCAAAATTTGTTATTTGTTGATTCTGCTGGTTTGCGCTATAATTTTACAGAGATGAAGGCCAGCTAGTAGGCCAGCTCTAAATTGCGACAGCTGAGAACAAAAGGAGACTCTTGCAAACGTGGGTGGCTGAAGGGGAGAACCGCAATGCTTGCGAGTCGAGGGTTGTGATCTCGAAGGAGTCTGCCAACATCTACCGAGGCCAAAGGGAGCTGATTTCAATTCGCGACATGCTGCTGGTGAAGAATTGGCCGATGGAAAAGGTGAAGGGCATCATAGCTCGCGGCGGAGGCATCCCTGATCCTGACGCTCCCCAAGTTCCTGCTTTGACCCAGTATTGGGTTCAAGGCAGCCGGGTCCAGACTGAGGAAGAAGAAGTTCGTCAAAGAGCCACCACGGAAATTGCAGCAGAGACCAGTGCCGCTGGGATTGGAGCTTTGATGGCGTTGAACACTCCTCGTGCTTCAGGGCCGGCTGTCAACGTCAGTCAGGAGCAGCTGGAATTGATTGCAAAATCTACGGGAGAGCCAGGCATGGCTTGAAATCAAACTTCCACTTCCACATTTGAATTTATGGTTTGGATACACTTGAAAGTTTGCGCTTAAGGAGTTTAACCGTGCAGTTCCCAGCAGCTTCCTTTATTAGTTTTGTAAGAGGAGGTTCATAGATCCATGGGCTATGGGTTCCCAATTTGCTGGGGTGTTGCCCACGTGTGCACGGCCGGCCCGAATCCGCAGGCCCCAAAGCCAAGGCAAAGACAAAGGCAAAGGCAAAGGCCAAGGCGGCCTCGGCCAGTGCAGGTGTGACTCCGGTGGAGCCTCAAACTCCAGAGCAGTTGAAAGCTTCGCTCGGCACCCTGTCTTTTTTGTTAGCATAAATATTTGCCCATGGAACACTTGAGGAGGCCCCCAATAGATGACAAAGATTTGTTTGATTCAATTCCTTGCACCATAGTGAGTGAGGTACTACCATCAAGAAGGAGATTGCGACCATGTCGATTGCGTTGGATTTGCCGAAGTCCCATCAATTGCGCAAAACCATGGATGCCTACAAGAAACGGTTTGAAGAGTACTCCGATGAGCGCCCTGGATTTCAGTTGAATTTCCTTCCAACTGGAACCCAATATCGTACATTTTGATTCAAAAGAATCCTTTTATTGTTCCTTTAGAATTGCCCATCTAACATGAGATGGAACCACCTCAGGCTGAAAGGGATGCACAGCGCATGGACAACCTCGAGAGCTTGAAGGATGAGCTCGCTGAAACTGCCCCTGGATGGTGTTCAAAGGATGTTTTGACTTATTCCCACAAAAATATATATAGACTTATTCCCACATATATATATATATACAGATGTGTATATATATATATAGATGGATACGTGTAAGCTGGCGACACCCCGGACTTGCCATGTTCAGGCCAGTTCCTACAGGATGGTGAAAGCGCAGGCCAAAGCAGTTCTGGCAGAACTCAAGAAGAAGTAGTCTTGAGTGGCCTATAGTGCCACACTTTTTGATCGTGCCATATCGCGCCGCTCGATGCGGGGGGAACAGGGCTGATTGAAGACCAATAGATTGGACCCCGTAGCCTGCAGTTCATTTCATGACAGAGAATAATGTGCGCACCTGGTCAGGTAGAACCTTTTGGCGCAATAGTCCTATGAACCTTTCTACAATCCATTGTGAAAGTTGGGAGGGGGTCCCTGTGGGGCCCTGATCTGGGAGTCATCGCTAGGCGGTTGACGTTGAAGTGATACGGATGAGCGCAAAAAAATGTCTCTTCGTGCGCTGCACCTTCAAAGTCCAGCGTTTTGACAGTACCTTTGAGCCCCGCGCAGGGTCTTGGACTGATCCGCGCCGAGAAGAGCAGATCCAGCAACTGCACGATGTGCCCTTCGCCGGGAGATTGGTAGGCTTTTTTGTGTTTATAGATACGGGTCCCTTTGGAATGGGATGTCGGAAGTCATGTCGCAATAGACAATAAGCCAGAACCTTTCCACGTGCACCATATCGCAAAAGAACGATTCCTTGTCCCCAGAAATCATGGCAGTTCAGGTTAGCCTCGGGCATTGGTTCTGGTGGCTCTTCAGTAGTTCACGCTTGCCGGGTTGGGGAGATTTTTGGCTCCGCGATCTTTCAAAGGTGCGGGGTTCTGAAACTTCTCACGTGCAATGGTCCCACCAAAGAATAAACAAAGGTTTAGCCAGATTGGATAAGGAAAATATAGTGTTCACATGTGGTTACATATATTATGCAGGCCGGGTCAACCAGAGCGCCGTGTTCACAAAGCGGCGCAACGTGGTGGCCTCAACTTCGACGTGGACCTTTCCTACTTCGAACTCCCGGTTTGCACCGATCAAGATTCTGGCCATGTGGAGTTCTTACCGTGGCCTTTCATTTTACCAAGCGTTCTCGTATCTTGGACTTCCCACTTTCCACAACATCCGAATATTTTTCACCATGTCGTTTTGTGTGAGTGAAACGTTATATGCTAGAAATGGGTTCCCTCGCTGGCTTTATGTCTTTATGTGAGGTACGGAGGATGGTTGAGGAAGGATACCTTTCACTGCTCGCTGGCGACTTGGGTGGACTTGAGGCATATTGGAGACAATTGCTGCTGGATTTCCCTGGGCACCCAGCCCATGGTCATGAAGCTGAATCCATACCTTTGACTCTATATGGTCTCTTGCTTCATGATTCACCTATGGTTTTTCCCCTGAGCACCAAGAAACTCCCGAGGAGATTGCTTCCCAGATTTGGGATTGCTATTTCCCCTCAACACCAAAAACTCCTGAGAAGTTTGTTTCCCAGGTATGGGATCGATCAACCTCAGGTGATGAGGGCAATGCATTCCGTAGTAGTTGGATGACCTTTCACTTCCAGCCCGACTTGAGCCCTCTGCTGACAAACAGCGCCTGCTCTCGCTTCCTCATCACGACGGTGCCGTCCTCCATGCGCCCAGTCGACAATTCAAACACAACCCAATCTTTATCACCCTATGAAAACCACTCCTGGTACTCACGTTTTCAAGGGTGGTTCTGCACCCCATTCGAATTACCAAATTGGTCAGGTATGCCTATGATGAGAATGGGGTCAACCTCACTTTACAGGCAGCTGGAGCAGTCATCCGTGATTCTCTGAACGATTTGGGGACTGCAGGATGTCAAATCCGAGACCCTTCTTCTGGCGAGATTGTAGCTTCCTGATTTCTCAGCAACTTTAGTGCTTTTAGTTCTGTGCAGTTACACTGTCCTTAGAGTTTTCTTCAAGGGTTATCTTGGTCTCGCCGCAAGTTCAATGCACCAGACACGGCTATTGCCTTAAGGTACTGACTACTCGTTTCTTTGTGGTCAACTTCAAAGGTGACTGGAAATACCTTTATCAGCTGTTCTGCATGGAACGTTATGCGTCCAAAGAGGAGGCCTGGATCTCGTCAAGGGCTTGTCGATCGAAGCCACCATGTAGTAGACCTGGGCGTGACCACCAGGTACCCCTGTACATGTATCAGCTTGTTCCCATTTGGGTACACACCATGGGTTCAAAAATTGGTGAACCATGTGTTAACCGTGTTAACCCTGGGAGGTTTGTTGGAAATGCAAAGCGACGAAGGGCACCTATGATGCAAACTGGTGTTACAGCAATGTGTGCGAAACAGCTCCGTGGCGAGCGACCCTGTTCTCAGAAGATCCGTGGCCTTCCCACACTGTGCCTTCACTGACAGGTCTTTTGGGGTTCTCTCTCCAAATGCTGGGGGTGGACATACTTCACATCTGGCACCTGGGGGTCGGCAGAGATCTTTGCGGAACTGCCATAAAAATATTGGCAACAAAGCGTGGCTACTGGAGGGGTCGCACACAGGAACTTAGGCTTCAAACAGCCACCCAGCGCATGAAGTGGTACGCTAAACGGCATGGCCATTCTCTGGCCCTGTCGAAGTTGTCCAAGCAGAGTACAAATTGGAAGTCTGACGAGTACCCGGAACTCAGAGCAAAGGGCTTCGACACTTTTGTGGTACTTCGTTGGCTCACATGGGAAATTAGCGTGAAAGACATTGAGAATGACCTTCTTGCCACCGTCCTCTCCTAATCGAGTTGGTTGTTTTCTATTGTGGGATGGTTCAACCCTTTTTCGGAAACCTTTTTATGTTGTTCAAGAAATAGTGTTGTTATATTAATTTCCTGGTTGATCCACTGTTTGAGGTTTTGTGGAGCGCCGATCGCTGGCTGAACCTTTTGGTGAAATCAGAAATGTTCTTGACAGAACTTGAAGATCAGAACCGGTTGGTCCTCGGTAAGTTGATGATCACCAGCTACACTTCGCTCGCTGCAACGGCGGTTGAACAGAAGAAGTTTCAGTTCCGGCTTCGGCCAAAGTTTCACCTTTTGCACCACTTGTGCATAGACGTCAGAGCGTCGAGGCTAAACAGCAACATCCATGCAACATGGATGGACGAAGACAGTGTAAAACGCTGGATGAGAATCAAACGACAAGTGCATAAACGCACTGCAAGTGAGAGTGTCCTTCGGCGATTTCTGCTGGGGCACCGAGCGAATCTGGACTCAGGCTTGGCGAAGCTCAAGTCGACACCATGAAAACGGGCACAGCTCGATGGGCTTGGGTGGAGACGTCTTGAGATGTCTTGAGAGCTTCTAAGACCCCCCAAAAATATTTTTCACCTCGAAATGGGCCTCTCTCGTTGGGCCAATGGTTCAAAGTTCAAATGGGAAGTCTGTTTTATGATGTGTTTGGCTACCATCTGTTCAAGATTAATTGGGAAACTCTCGAGACTGGGAATCGCGCTTTCGAATTCGATCGTCGGAAAACCAACGTCGAACTCGAGCGTCGGAGCCACCATATCTAGATGTTCTAATAAAATAATACACACAAACACATGTGTGTTAAAGTAGAGGTCTTGAAAAAGAAAGTCAAGGAACTGAAGATATAGTCGTACATAGTGTACATAAGAGAAACATTAAGGCTCAAGGGCGGAAGTTTCAAAAATATACATTCGGCCTTGGGACGGATGAACTGGCCAAAATGAATGTCAGTGACTTGCTCTGTTTGGTGACTCTGCCACTATTATATATAGTGGTGGGCGGGTGGGGGCCGTGAAGTTGCGTTACCTTTTTGCAGCTGGTACCTATCTGGTTCGAATGACCATTTGTACCAGATGAACTGGTCAAAATGAATGTCTAGGGTCAAAGCCCATAACTCCACACCGGCAGAAGCGTGGTGGATCGAGTCTAACATGGCCGGCTGGAGCAACAATGCATGGAGCTTACTGAGTAAGACTACTTCAGTCGTATTCGAGGGCGCAGTCTGGGCGGCCGTCGGCTGTTGTCGAAGGAAGTGCTCATGCAGCCGCAACTCATCTTCGTCGAACGGCACACACGCCGTTGCGACTGCGTCTGCGTGCGGCCCGTGCTGGGCCGCCAACAACCACTCAATGGCTTGCAAGTGGATTTCGGCGGCTGTGCTGCGGCCTGAGTGTGTGCTGCCTTTGAAGTACCGGCTCACGGCGTAGAAGAAGCACCAACCGTCTCTCGGCATGTGCACCACATTCAATTCGACCGAATTCGAGCTCGCAGCGTCTCGGCAGCTAGGGTCGCTGCCGCCGCTGGGTCGCCTAGCGCTGCAGCCACTGAGTCTGGTGGAGGTGGCAACACCGGGCCGGCTTCCACATGGTGTGTCAGCGTCCGCCTCTTGCGACGGGGCGCTCCAGGGTTGCCGTTCACGGCATGCTGCTCTCGATTTCGGACCTTTCGAGGTAGGTACCATCTCGGTGCCGTCGGGGCTTGGGGACACCCTTTTCGCACGCCTCGCCGGACTTGCAGGCGGAAGCCATACCCGCAGAGATCAACACAACATACGACGTCCAGTTGCTCGGCACGGCGACAACCAAGGGCACAGCTGAGTTCCCACTTCTGCCCGCCACTGACTTCCGCGCTCACGGCGTAGAAGAGACACCCACCCTCGCCCGGCACGAGCAGGAAGTACCTGGGGAGCCAAAGTGGCAGAGTTTTCCTGCCACAGTTGCGCGTGGCGTATTTTAGAATTTCTGCCACTTTTTTCTGCAACTGGACTGTGGTTGTGTGTGGGCAGTAGCTTACGTGCTTTCCAAGCGTTCGTTGCCGGGTCTAGCAGCAATTAGCGCTAGCAAGGCGCATGCCTACCGTGCCCAGGTTGCAAGCGTTGTCAATGGTTGGCAATGCCCGCGCTGGAGCGCAGGCTGAAACTGTTCAGGAGCCACTTGAGCCATATATATATATATACTTGCTGTCTCCAACTGTGCCCAAGCCGCAGGCCAACTCCTGCATGGTAAGAAACCATGCATCGGTGCAACTCGGAAAATTAACCGCTAAACTTGCGGCTGTAACTCGGAAGTTTCACTATGTTTCCGTAACTCGGAAGTTTCACCATAAACGTTTTGCCGTAACTGGGAAATTTCACCCGCGCAACACAACCTTCAACAAATTAATTGGTGTATGTGCGCATGATTTCTTTAGCGGAAGTGCTGTGGATTTTTGGTCACGAGGTGCTGTGCACGGCCTGTTTGGACTGCAGCCATTTGGGGGGGATAGACGTGCGCCGTTCCAACCAAGCACAAACACATCCAAATTCAAACGTTACCCAGTGTTTTTGAACGGGTTCGTTTCTGTGTCCAACAATCTCAGGTATATAAATATTAATGTTATATTTATGTGTTTTCTACAACAATCTTTAGCGCTTTAGTTTCTATCACATGGGGTGCGTGGGTGACGCATGCATGGAGCGATCGAGCCCAAGGCCGGCCATATGCAGCTTCTTTATACCTCGACTTCCCCGCTCCAAGCGCAATTGTCGCGCCACAGGTGATCTTGATCAGATCGCGTGGTCCTGGCCGGACGGTTCTTCTGGCACGCTTGTGTGCGCCAGTGACGCAGTCTAATCGTTCAAGTAAAAAACATGAGTATGCTCCTTCTGCCTGCGAAGGGAGGGCTCAAGTTTTGGGCACGGATCGTATATATACCGGTCATGCCTACCCGTTGTTCAAGAGATGGGAAGCACGATACCCGATACGCAGCCGGCTGCGTGACGCGAAGCTTTTTGTGAAGGAGCCCCTTCCAAAAGACAATGGGCATGACTCTGAGGGGGAGGATCAGGTCAGAAGTGGTGGTGATCATGGCAGCGAAAGCGAAGCTGGTCCAGCGGGCCCCTCTCTAACCACTGAGTTTTTGACCTACAACACAGAAATCCTCTACGAGATGTTCGACTGTTGGGGGCTGCGTCCCCGGCCGACAGTGAAAGGAATCAAGAAGGAGGCTTTGGTGTCCAAAACTGGTATGGTGAAATACGTGTCCTTATGGGGGGGTGTATTTGTTAAATCACACCGTCATGGATTTTTAGACCGCTTCTCCGCGCGCCCTTTAGGTGAAAAGCTTCTTCCGCCGATGCGACTTCACCCCAAAGGACAAGGATGCTGCATACAAGGACGCATGGTCCCTCAAGAGACTCTGGGGGTTTGCTCAGAGACGACAGAAGGACGCAGCGCGTCGACAACAGACTCCTCGTGTACATTACCTGAATTTAACACAAGGCTTTTCATTTTGAACTCATAGGGATGGCAGTCAAATCTCCAAAACTTTAATCCCTGCATATATTTCGGGCTCAACTGAGGATCAAGGGGTGAGAAATCTCTTTGCGTTGATCGGTCGCCTTCGTGAACAGAATGGTGGTTTTGCTGACAGATTCGTGGCGGCGCATACCCCTGCGCCCACCAATACGGAGGATGAGAAGGAGGATGAGGAGGAGGAAGCTGAAGGCAGTGAGGCTGATGAGGAGGAAGCTGAAGGCAGTGAGCCTGAAGGTGATGGTAGTCCAGAGCATGAAGAACCCGAGCATGATTCGAAGGGGCATCCTGAAAAAAAAAGTCCAAGTCCAAGACCGGAAGAACCGTCCGACGTTGAGTTTGTCAAAGAGACCGCAGTTACAAAGGAAGACCGTGTTGCCAGCCTACGCATGCAGTTGGTTGCCCTACAGAAGGAACTCAACTCGCGGTTGAGCAGTAGCCTGTCAACTGTTTCCGTTTGTTAAAATGTTGTATTTTTTGGTTGTTTTTGACTTTTATCGGATTATCGGACCCCGCTGTGCGGACGGTCCTCCACTCAGGCAAAGCAGCTTCAGCATCGGTGCCAAAGCCTAGCGCAAGCGCGCCGGCTACTTTGACAAAACCAACGCCTGCCAAAGCTGTCGCGCTGGTGCACGTCGAGGAAGATTGGTATGTTTCACTGTTGGTGTTGAACATGCTCACCATTCCATTTCCAACAAAAATGTTTCGAAGCTCAACCGCACAGACTTCATAAAGCATATGGTGCCCCAGAATGGTTGCAAGCTTGACCCCAACCCTATATATACTCCAACTTGTTTAGTTTATCATTCTCTAACTGTCCGCTGACAATCCAACGCAGGAGATCGAGACACTTCCCTATGATCCGTATCTCATTGAGGTTGAGGACACGCCGGAGAAAGTTCCAGATGCCGTTCCAGAGAAACGCCACTACTTCAAAGGCCCCCAGTTCAGCCGCGAGATGAAGGCTCATCGATCGACCATCCCTCGCAAAAACCCGGGTTGCGGGTTGACATGTGCCCAACAGCGTTCAACTTCTACCGTAAGACAATGATTTAATTGTTGTACACCTTTTTGGGTCGAGCCATGTTGAGCCGGGTTGAGCTCAATACCATGGGAGGCTGCCCGGGCCCACGCTGAAGCTGAGTCCGAAGCAAAAGCATCGGAGCGTGAGGCATCTCGTGAGGGCAAATCTGCCTCGGACGTTGTCGATCCGGCTGCCGCTGCAGTGATCAGCCCCGAGATGCAGCGGGAACTCCATAAGAAACATAAGGAAAATAACCAACAACAGAAGCAACCGAAGGATGCGCAGGCGAAGGCAATGGCAAAGGCAAAAGCTCAGGCCAAAAAGAAAGCGCAAGCAAAGAATAAACAGAAACAACAGGCACAAGCAAAGAAGAAACAGGAACAACAGGCACAAGCAAAAGCAAAAGCTAAGGCTAAGGCAAAGGCAAAGGCGAAGGAAAAGGAACAGAAAAACAAGGACCCGCCAGAGGAATCAACCGATCCCAAGGGAAACAAAACGAAGAAAGGCAAGAAGGTCCAAGACCATGAACCCAGCGAGGCAGAAGAGGCAACAGGCGCAGCGTCATCGAACCGCCCACTTGGCTGTCCAAAATGTCGATGGTCAAAGGCAGTAGGTTGTAAACAGTGCCGTGACCCAAAGTATAACCCTAGGAAACGGCGTGATGCCATCGATGTGGACTAGACAATATATCGATGGCTGGCCGAAGTTTGTTTCATGGCTTCCCCTGCAGGGTCTTTGGAATAGTTCAGCTTTGTCAACCAAAAGCGAGTTAAGCTATCTGAGTGTATTTTGTGTGTGTTTGTTTTTGCGGGCCCATGGGTTGCCATGTCTTCAGTTCAAAGATGATGGCGTTTCAGCAAAGCTGCCCACGACATGTGGGAACAATGTGGGGTTGGACACAGCCACAGAGCTGTGCTTTGGGGTTGGGACTCATCGCCAGCATCCCGACTGAAAGAGGATAATGTTTTGCTTTGCCTTAAGGCCTT